TCGGTTGACTCCTCTTTCATAAGCTCCTCCAGTTTATGGTCCCTACCAGCTGCCATTGGCACAGCTGCTCCAGTACGAGTGGCCACTAGTACCCTCTTCACACAAGGACTCTCCTTCAGGGCAGTATCCACTGTCTCTTTGAGTGGTATGGTCTTACCTCCTCTTACTCCTTCATCAGCTGTTATCACTGTCTCCGCTGTTGCTATGGAAACAAAAGGGGAGAGGTAGAGTGAGAGAGGGTGTGGCTTAAACTTACCATCGTTAATCCGACTACTTAAAGCCTCAGCACTAAAACCAGCAAAAACAATACTAGAAAATAAATAAATAATAATTACATGTAATTAATAATAATTAAATAATAATTACATGTAATTAATAATAATTAAATAATAATTAATACATTATTAGATAATAATCAGGACACACACATGACATGACCACAAACACAATAACACAAAGTATCGTGTAATGAAACACACACCAGCTGTATATACCAATTACATACTACCATTATACCAATTAGCACTACTACCACTACACCATTGTACCATTGTACCATTGTACCATTATACTATTGTACCATTATACCATTATACCACTATACCATTATACCGTGGTACATTACATTTACCTGTGAATAGCTCCTATCCTAGCACAGGCTAATATGATAGCGACAGCTAACGGAATCATTGGGAGGTATAGGACCACACGATCACCTTTCCTGATACCCTGGGACTTTAAAACATTAGCAACCTGGCACGTCATGTCCAGCAATTGTCTGAAGAGAGAGAGGGAGAGAGAGGACATTAACAGATACGGTAGGAATTGTTTTTGCTACTTGTAAGTGACAGGTTCGTGTTGTTTTGGTTCATCTTTTTCCCAAAGTACAGCAACCCTGTCCGGATTATCTCTGGCATGTCGATCCAAACAATTAACTGAAAATAATAATAATAATAATAATAATAATAATAATAATAATAATAATAATGGGCTGATTTAACTTTTCTCTCTCTCATGTCTTTCTCTCTCATCTTTATTCTTCTTTTTGTTTCTTCTCTCCTTTCCATTTTTGTGATTATGGGTTTCTCCCTCTTTTCCCACATCTCTCTTTCTCTCTCATAATAATAGTAATAATAATAATAATAATAATAATAATAATAATAATAATAATAATAATAATAATAATAATAATAATAATAATAATAATAATAATAATAATAATAATAATAATAATAATAATAATATTCATGAATATTAATGAATAGTAATGATTGTTAATTAGGGGTGTGGGCGGTAAAATTGACCTTTTTATGCAAAACAAACTTTTTAAAAAAATGAAAAATATGAAAAGAAAACAACAGCCACTACTCCTGTTGCTATGCAAAAACCACCAGCCTCTTTACCTGTGACATTTAAAACTCCATTAATGAACCATTTAATGTCCCCAGAGTTCATATTAACGTCCATCACTTTATCGTAAGGCTTAATCCACTCCAGCCTCTCCTTAGCCAGCTGGTCCCAGAATGCTTCTGGCGCCTTTAGACTC